TTTCTTCTTATCCACGTACGCCTCATCAAGCTGACGTATCGCCCTTACATCTTCGCAGAGCTTTGCCCAAAATCAATGAATTCTGCCCCTTGATAAGGACAAGGAAAGGCATACCGCATAGCACGGGCGGATCTAGGAATTTTGAAAGGGGGGGTTCAGGGTGTTCGAACCCCCTGAAACCCCCCTTGGCTCCGTCAACGCATAAAAAATCTTCAATATGGTCTTAAGTCATTTTCAAAAGGGGGGGTTCGAACCCCCTGAAATAACACAAACACCCCAACCCCCTTGGATCCGCCCATTCCGTTTACACACATGCATGTACAAGTATACATTTAACAGCCTGATATCTGGAAAACACATCACTCACACAGATGCTTTCAGAGTCTCCCACAAAGTTCGCATTTACTTAGTCAACATTAAAGCCTGATTGACTTTATCAGCATTCGCGTATTGGTTTACCTTAATACGAATGGGCCAAAAAGAGAGGTGTAGATTTCTGAAGCGTTCGAACCTATCCCTCCTATTTAAGGGATGCGATTCTTTCCCCCGATGAGCAGAATGTAAAGCAGTTAGTCAGGATGAGCTCGACTGCCTGGTCTCGGTAAAATCTCAGCTACCCTGTCTTCAAAACCTCTACGTCGTGTGGGGCATGAGGTTTATGGCTCCAGAGAGTGAGGGCTCTCAGTTCTTCGCTTGAGTGCGAGGGACAACAAGGGTTTTTGTGCAGCTATCCCTTTGAAGTTGTAACAAAATAAAGAAATATTTTGCATCAGTTTTTAGGAGCTTTTTTGTCAAGAGTGTTTTTTTATTCAGATGGTACAGATTTCCTAGGAATGAATTATGAAGGATTTGGGGTTCGGGGTAAAAAGTGTGTGTATTTTTTTTTACATGATGCAAAAATTACATGATTATTGAAACATGCGGAATCAGAACCATATTTGCAAACAAATACGAGGCATGGGTATAATTGAAATGAGTTGAAGTTATTAAAATAGTAATATTATAATGTACGAATATTCAGAAATCAGTAAAAACATGATGCTCGCAACCTAACCCAGGCTGAATAAAGATTACTGCGCGGTTACAAAACAAAATGTTTATCTCATTTGAAAATACACACACTTATTAAATTTTCTAGCAGCTGGAAATTCATATCATATCCAAACACATTAGTGACCAACATATTTCACCTCCGACCACTACAAACGTTCAAACAAACACGAACGATATTTCAACGTGAACAATATTTGACTTGAAACGAATATTCCCCATTGAAGCTGTATTGAACTACTGAAACATTCACTTAGATATTCTGATCGATAGAATCACTAAAACGTACTTAATATTAGAATGGTTTACTTGTACGATTGTAAACGCAAAAGTCCATGTAAAATACATGAAGCTTCGCTCTATATACGACGCTGAAACGAGTTCAGATATACATCGACATAAGCACATGAACATTAACGAACTATAAAATGCTTCGCTGCTCATGTGTGAACAGATATGTTTACAACAATTGAAATCAGGTGCCCTTTGTGTCTATATTTATAATACTTATACTCACGAAGCGTAAATATTGTAAGAAACGAATTATCTAAGAATGTGGGCAAGTATTTAATTTTGATATTTGTAGATTTTCTACGGCTCTTCTACTATGACCCCATCGTTCGGTCTTTTGGTCATGTTTACTTTATAAAATGATCATTAAACGATTGTCCAACGTTATATTTTCCGTCGTGTAATGGTTTGTCATATGTGTGGCTAGTCTAAGATATTTAACACTTTTTAATAAAGATATATGTAGTACCTTTTCGATACCACAGTGCACAAATCGGACATGTATTATCTTATTGTAAAACCTGTGGAAATTTCATCCTTATTTTAACATGCAAAATTAAATCTAAACAAACGATTTCGAAGAAAAAACAGAACACTGTTATATACAAGCAGAAATTTAAAATAGCATTATTAAATGCCTGAAATCAAAACTTTCGATTTTTCGATCTTCGTTCAAATCTATTTGAAATAATATAATATTTGAACATGATTACCAAAATAAATTATGCAAATTATACAGAAATATTCATAGGTGTCAAAAGACTTAAAATAAAGCCTAATTTGCAACAAAACCAGAAAAAGGTTTGAATACATTCGGACAGGTAATATCGAGCAATCCAAAGTTTTTTTTATGAAAACAAATAATTCTTTGCAAAAATGAAGTAAAGCAGTTTTGTTTAAAAGTACCAAGTCTGATCAGGTAATCCGTGGAACCGTGGTAGTCATAAATGTAATATATATTATCTAAATTTAATACGGCATAGCCCTAAATCGCATTTCAAAACCAAATAAGACAAACTAATTGTCTATTAAACATGTGACTTGAAGCAAACAATCAACATAAACAGTAATTATAAAAGTGAAAGTTCATATCATAAATTAAATCTACTCGAAGTTTATCGAATCACAATACAGGACCACTCAGTTTGGAGAATGTAATTGAAATATTTGCGACGTCTTGTTGTAACGGCAGATAAGGACCAATCTATGTACAGCTCGCAACACTGTACTATCCTACCTTAAGCCTGAGCCCCATGCGAGGCTTTTACGATCATAAATATAGATTGTTAATAAAACGTAACCATCTTTAAGCTGTACATCCATCGAAAAATCAATATTTCCCTTCATATCGCGGCGGCGATCGGCAGAATGCAGTGTTACAACTCGACTAGGGTAACCTAACAGATTCTGCCGAACTGTCGACCACTTTTCGCCGGCAAGCCTCGCTATCTGCCTAACTCGTCTCGCCGCTGCTGCCGCCTCAATCGAAGGCTATCGCTTCCTACGTTTTGTAAACAAATATTTCCCCTGTTGATGAGAGAGATTAGCGCATTATAACTTACTGCAAACTGTGGATTAGTGGCCCATCTACCAAATGCTTTAATCCATAGGATCAGCCGTATTTATCCCTCGCGAGCTCAGCTGTAGGGATGCTCATGCTTAGTGTCTATAAAAGATATTGAAGGGTGATCGCGCCCAAGCCTAGGCATGGAGAATCGTAAAACGACCATATTTGCATGCAAATTTTAGTATGACTAGAATACTGGGATAGTATAGGTTTAGAAGTTGGCCCGACAAATACATCCTTTCCCCGCCTTAAACAATAAAACTCCCCTTTGAGACGCGCCGGGATTGTTAGAAATTGTACAGATTTATATCTTCCCGTTGACGAAATTACGCACACGGTTGTGAATAAAGCTTTTTTCATGGTCTCCATAGAAATAAAAAAGAAGTAAATATTCATTGTAACTAAGTAGAGCACCCAGGATAACGTTTGAGGCTAATTACTTCAATTGTTAATTGAGAATTTATTCCAAACAGTTCACCCGTCGTTAAAATTTAGTTTGTTTGGTATTGATGTTCTCGTGGCAAATGAATTATATGACGCATATCAATTCAGCATCTCTATACATCCGTAAAAAGGGGTCACATTGCATACAATTTACTTGTGATACTCCAAAACATCCGGACACGCCCGAAAATTTAATACACTACCCTTCAACCCTTGCTACAGAGTGTTTAAATTGTTAATATCATCGCCATTGAATCGCATTAAACTCTAAACCGGCTTGAAAAATTTGAAAAAGAAATCGATAACACCTTAACCATGATCTGACTTTATCAGGTATTATGTCCGTCAAAACACAAATAAATCAGAATTAAATGGAAATCACACTGGTGCATATTTTATGCTGAAATATTAAGTAAGCTTATAATACAATTATTTTACAAATAATTTTCAAACCTACTTAAAGTTGTAAATAAGCATTATATTTCAGTTTTTCAGAGATAACATCTGAGGAAATTAACCACTCCAAAATAGGTTAAATTATGCATTTATTTATGCATAAACGTAATTATAACATCCTTTCGTTGAACCTATAAAGACACAGATTTAAAGAATAAACTGAACACAACGCTGAAAATTATCTTTACTTCTGCTGGAGACAATCAAACATAATTAATAAAACTGGTTTTAAAAAACTAATAATTTCAGAATGTATGCAGTATTAAATCAATGAAATACCCAATACTAAGATTAACCGGGATTGAACAATATCAGGTACTTTCAAAACTTCAACTGATTTTACATTAGCAAAGTTAATATGCATACGACTTCATTAAATTTTAGAATGATACTAATTTCGATCAATGTTAATTCCAAGTTTTTATTCCAGGCCTATTTACCATAACGGATATACAATCAGATGAATTTCCACAGCATTATCACTTACCTTAATGCAAAGTACAAATCCAATTTTGAAATATGTTTTAAATACTACCTAGTAACCGGTGTGTGTGTTCTAGTGAACTATTTCGTGAGGATCTGTTATCAATAACAACATCACGTCACCCAACCCCCTATATATTGCAATTTTATGCCTTTGAAGTCTAAATGTAGACCAAAGGGTAGCCATTGTTTATTTTTAAACCCAGACGGACAGAGGGACATATTTGAGAGAAAATCCCATTTCCCGCTCTGTAGGCAATTAAAGCGAATCAACCCCTACCATGCTGATATTAACATGACAGTCCATCACCCGAGTTGAAATTGACACAGCGAAATACGCACCGGCCCCTATCGTAAGTCAGGGGGCGTTATGCAGAAAATGAAAGGTACAACGATAATATGCGTGTATTTCACAGTAATGACAGCATTTGTCTGTTTACTTTAGCGACTAAGTGACCGGTGGGTCCAGCTGGGGGAAGCCAAGGACCTCATTGACCAATTACAAATTGTCCGCATCGAGCACCTCTAGACTTAGGCCGAATTGTGTCCGAACCTCGCCGACAGATTTACGAAAACCAAATGTTCTATGTGAAAGAATTAATTTAATCTATGAGAACTACGTCACGTGGTTAATGGAAGAATTTTGTAAGGATCAAAAAGATCCTTAAAGACGTGACCACCATCCGTCGTTCTTTAGTCTAGCAGTGTCCATTGTCCGTGCTAAATAAAATTAGTACGGTCACTGGAAGCTTAAAACAGATGAATGCAAATAGCGTTATTTTTATTCAAATTCATTCGGATTATCACCGGCGATCTTAAACTCCAAGAGGCTACTAAAATTGGCCGTTAAACGACGGACAGGCCATAACGCTGTACTGACAGAGGACGAGCAGGGCAAATGTATCAAGGTAGGCCGCTTGTGCTTTATTGTGGCAGTAAAATCTTTACTTCTATTTTATATTTGAGATATTCTTCACGATTGCTTGTGAAAGAGGCTTTTACTACCCTCGTCGAATTTACACAAAACAGCACGGATAATCAGCTATGTAGTAAAATGCATTTTGTATGTGATATTTGCAACCATCAGGGAAATGAAGAAGACATGTCGAGGGTAGTTCTAGCACCCGCTTAAGTAATAAAATTAGTGTTTATGGAACTCTCGGCATAAATAGTCGTGAACCGATAGCAGGTTTGTGTACTGTAGATTGAGTCTAACCCCTTACCGCTTCATCTATATCTCCCATATTGAATCTGAAAAGACGATTCTATTTATCATCAATTACGTATTGTTTTATCGTTTGCTTGTATTTACCTTCGCTTTACTGAGAGATTTACTGGTGTGCCTATAGTAAAACAATCTATAAAGTGTACTCTTGCATAAAACATTTTTATGGTCTTGACAGACAGCGAGTAGATGATAAAATTCATTCTGTAGAATTTGGTTTGTTTATATAGACGTCGACCCATACTTTTTCAACGAATTGTACAAATTGAGAACAGTTGAACACTTGATATAACCACCTAAAGATCTTATTCATGACAAGCCTCAGTTTTCAGCATAATTAAAGTATTCCTCTGCTGTTTGTGAAAGATTATATTCACTTTATTTGTGTTTATAGGAAGGTTGTAAATAGCGTCATGCAGTATTTATTTGTTTTTTGAACACATCAACTGGTGGATGCCCTGTATTTTCATGTGTAGCTCATTCAGTTATAATAGTTTTCAGTAATTTTAGATTTGACTGATAAACCTGCCCTGCTTTTCATTTCAACACATAATTTATTTCACACAATACCGAATAACACTTTATAATATTTTATTCTGATAAACTGACGATTCTAAGTCTCCCTCGGATTGGATTTAGCAACTGACAATTTAATGTTTCACCGGGGAAGAAAATAAATTTAATGTTTAATCGTTGTGATTATTTATGGTGCGAATTCATCACTTTAGAGAAGAAATGTCAATTCAGGGTTCGTACTAGGTCGTTTCGGGAAATACTTCCCAAATATCGCCTCAATCCTTTCAATAAAGACAAGATCTCCAATTTGATATGGAACCCAAAGAGAAAAGTCTTTCAGCTGTAAGGCATTACGGGGAAATCTCCTGGGAGAAGGTACAAGATACTAGTGGCGGATTTTGGATTAGACTTAGGCATTTGTGTTATTCGTGAAATAAATTATATTTTACATTTTCCAAACAAACTGGTAATTTGTTTTCTACCCACCGCCATATAAAATGAAATACACGTGTGCTCAGAATGCGACATGAATATTTATGCATTTTGTGTTCGTATGCAGAGCCATACATGTCTGACATATCACAGCTGTAGTCATGATTGTAGGTATGAATACATTGTAGAAATACATGTAGTATTTTGTTGCTGCATTTTTAACCCGTTTAATTATTTGTGACAAACATTTCGTCATGCCTTGTAATAATAGTTCGAACGAGGTTGAATTAAACAGATTACAAACAATCTTTGATTCTATGTTATCAGCTCCTTGTATTCATTTTCTGAATTTAACGCACATTTTTTGTTAACTACAATCCTTCGCTTAATGACATTCGCTACCTTTTCTTGGCTTGGTCGATAACTTGTGTTCATTGATTTTTCTTGTATGAACGTAGTAATTGACGGTGCGCTTGTTTATGACGTAACAGCGACTCGAATATTCTTTTGTGCCATTTCGTCATATTTGGTAACATTAACAAAAGCTGGGACATTGCCCCGAGTTCTTCTATTATGTGGAAAATAATGAGAAATGATTTATTAGCCTTGCCTTAATTCAGTACTGAGGACCTCGAATCTCTGAACGTCGGCTGAGGACGATACTACACAATGACGCTGGAAGCAGTCTTTAGTCTTACAGACGACGGGCGATCAAACACAACACAAAAAACTGCTATCGCCATGGAGGCTATCGGTCTTTAGTTACCGACGTAAAAATTTGAAAAATAGCAAAGCGATTTGTCCAGAGATCAGGCATTTCTTTTGATGTTGAAATTTATCATACATGTGCCCTGGTCTTTGAGCGAGAGAGTTCATTTCTACTTACCTAAATATTTATCACCCGAGTCACGTTAACAGAAAATCTTATGATGGGACGGTTTTGTTTATATTATCTGATTAAAGTGATACCGAGAGCCCGCCCTACTCAGAAATCCCTTTGCAACTCACGAACTGCTTTTTCTTAGCGGAAGGAGTCGCTGTAAGGAGCTACCAGTGCAAAGGTCACAGGAGGTCAGATTTACGACCGCTGATTGGATGGTATGCAAATTGTCTGGTTTATCTGTTGTGTGAGTTGCCGGGTCTGGGAGCTATCTCAATGATTTTCTAGAACTAAAATAATTTTACTTTGCTTCATGGTTTCAGCGAGCTTTAATAGTGGCCTCACATCAAGACCCGGCTACGAGCGACCAGGGATGAGTTCTTACCTGCCTATTCGCCAGTGCGCCCCGAGGGGGGATGAGATCCACGCCGGTGAAAATACAGGGTATATGGACCACTTTCTTAATATCCCGGAGATATGTCCCACTGGAAACTACAGGGCTCCTCGATATTATATGGGATCATATGCTTCCGAAGCATGTCGAATGGAAGCACTCCAACAGCGAAATCACGAACTGAGAATGGGTCTTCAAACAAACCGAGCGTCGTTCTACCCAAACATGAACGTACCAGGCATGAGATTCGGAGACCCGTGCGATACCCAGGGAAATTGTAATCCCGCTCCGAGGGCAGACAGCTTGAGTCCTTGCTCAAAGTCCGGGAATGGAACAACCGAGGGGGAGACGCCGTCATTTTATCCCTGGATGTCAATCGTAGGTTAGTACATTTTACTACTCCAAGCGATAGATACTGTCGTAAAGTGTGAACATAAAATAACAGCAAGCCAATTAACGTCCCTGTAGCTGACCCGGTGTGAGTTTACTGCCACCCTAGGGTTCTTTTACACTTAGAGGGGGTCAGGGAGACCCTTCTTAAGTAGAAGGGCCCCTCCCCTCTCCCGTAACCTCTGTTCAAAATCTGCAAGGCGAGACGCACCTCTCCTCTAGCCTAGACTTCATAAAACTTCATTACCGCATAAACATTGACAATAACCTGCCTTTATGCTCGCCGATTCTTCTCTACAGAGTGTTAAAGATTCCCCTCATCATCGCGTACAAACTACCTCTCAAACACTCGCAGTCGAATCGGAGAAAAATGCGGCCATTTCATTGTTTTATAGATCATCAACAGCCATTTTATGTAGCAGCGCCTTATAGATTTTATTCGAAACATCTGCATGCTAATTTTCGATTATTTACATTTATTCTCTCCGTGGCCCAGTCATAGGATCGCGCCTTCATAAAACGGCAATATAATAGCGACAACCGCTATTTTAGGGTAGAAATTTATCTCTTACCCTTACTCGTATAACTTTTCTTAAGATGCACTCACTTGTAAAGCCTGGCCCTTTAAACACCCTTTTATTGCTAAAGATTGCTTGTGTGTAGTGAACGATATTTGAAGGAAATGTCCCATTTCTGTTGTATTCTCTCAACAACCATTCGACACTTCTGTCGTTTATTTGAACATAACAGCGTTTAGTTTTCATTTTATCGAAGTAACTGTTTTCAAATTTCCTTTTAAGTGTCCATGGCAAGAAAGTAGCGAGAGAAATGATTCAATCCACTATATTCGATTTTGCAATAACATTATATTCGGCTAACTATGTGTGGCTATTTCAGTCTTTTTTAAAATTTTGGGTTGTTATTGCTAGTTAGTAGCTTATTTATATCTTGGTGATGTTTGGCATTCAAGATCTTCTTTCGATTCATGTGATATATTGTGAATTAGGACGTAGAATTAGGATACACTCTCAGACATTGTCAAGAGGGCAATTATTTACTTGAGCTGAGTTTTAGCGGATACTGAAAATATCCTAGCTAATACGGCCGTATCCTTGAAAAGCAGTAATCGGCTTTTGCAAAGCATACCGTAGATTCTCTAGCCAGGCATTTGGCAAATGTAACAAATGCAGGCCTGCACGAGAGACTTGTTCCTATTTCAAAGAGCAAACGAAGTATATATATCATATCAAGAACACCGCACGCGCTGGGCTTGTCACATGACGGAGCAGACGACACACGACTGAAGCAGACGACATTTGTAGCAGACGACACTATGAGTCCACTGAATGTCCACTGCGTGTCCGCGGATCGCTTACGGATGGCGATTAGCATTTACTGGGGACAATTTGTCATAATCTGTTGGCTATCATTTTGCCTTTGTGGTCATTCATTGTTCGCGTGGCCTTGACTGAATAGTGAAAGCCTGAGGGGAGGGCTGTATGTTTATATACGCTTGTACCACTGGGGATTCCTATCAATTTCCGATTATTGGGCGAATGAAGGTAATTATATATAGTACCCATGTAGAATCACTAGCAATGAGGCTTTTATTACTGTAGACGAATCTTTAATCAAAAGAGTATTCCGAGACCACAGAGAGACACTAGATCTCATGGGACAAGATTCCTTGTATTGTATTCATGAATAAATTAGTGTTGGCACTGTACCGACAGGGACGGATTATTAGTTAAGCTTTCTGCATGGATCCTAATTTCCTATTATACATGCATTAACCACCAAATCATACAACCTCATAAAACACACGTCCAAATTATCAATTCAATGTTATTTCAATACCATCTAGTTCATCCTCAAACATAATTCTATCAGTGTGAATTACAACAACTATGTCTACCAATTACAACTCATTATCAAATGATGAAATCAAATATTGCTGTTCATGTGAGAATATGAGATGATTTAAACACAAAACATGCATATTCTTACCATATTCTATACAAAAGACTAGCCAAAATGATATTTTGTATTAAATATCACCTCACAAAATCTTTAATAAAATTCATACATATGATCTACTCACTATAGCTTTGTTTTTATGGGGGACCTCTATTCACTTTTACACACTTACCGACGCTTCAGCAATAAAGCACTTCTTAGAAAAGACTTAAGTATTTTATTACACTTTTATGGCGTTGAGGCATCTGCAGCACGAAATCAGAGCTACACCCTCTTTTGATTTTATGACCAAAGTTCCAATTTCATAGTGTACATTTTACTCCCTTGTGAGAGAATTTTCATTTGAGTTTACCATTGCAACATATATGATAGTGAGTATGAAGTAAAAAGATATTTGTTGTTGCTAGGTTTGTTGTTCCCGGTGTGCAGGTAGTTTATGTATTTGTCCTCACTTAAAGTTTAGCGCTTTAGGTGGCGTGCTCAAAGGCAGTTTCAAGGCTGTGGTAACACGCTGCTTTCTGTATCATATAGTGTCAGGTTTTCAAGGGATTGCACAACTACCACTATCAAGAATTGATATATTTACCACATGACACCATTCCGATGTTCTCAGCTGGCTTCAAAGGAAGCCAAAAATCAGAACAATAGTGTGTAGTTTACTGACTTTCATTTTCCGTTCACTTGGATAATATTTCTTGGACATGTTATATAGGAAAGATGATACCATATACAGGACCTTCGACAGCCTTGTTAACAGAGTGCGAAATGGGAGCGTGGAATATTATATTCCTTCAAGAGTCCCCATTTCTCCTTCAAGTAATCACTGAAATGGGAACGGTGTAGATATTCATTCGGAGATAATTATTATATTCGTTGTTTGAAACATCCTTCTATTTTATCATTTGAGACTCAGAACCGAATTTCAAACAAAAATGCTTCATATTGCATGACTGTTACAATGAAATCTACAACATGGTGGTTTTGAACTGTAAACTAGGTCCGCATGTAATGTATTTTCCCCATTTCGTTATATGTATGCTTTTTTATAAATCCAAATCTGGAATCATATGTTCAATTTCGCACTTTCAACACGCGATTACATTCTTAAGGTGTTATATTTCGAACACAACCACGTGTCAGTTATAGATGTTCGACTTTTATAGTTACAATCTAAGTTACTGTGACATTTGCTTTGCAAGAAAAGGATTATTGTTTGAAAGTATGAGCTATTTCGAAACATCAAAACATTCAACAGTCGTTCAACGTCCGTGTGCTTGTTCTTTTGCATTCAATGGATGTTTATTCCTAATTTAGAATCCCAATATTCAAGAGAATAATTAACATGTATATTTCATGACTGAGAGGGTGGTGACGTGCGTGCTGGGTCTGAGGTGGACATGTTGGTTGTTTCGAAAAACAGGAATCCCTAATTGTAACGTAAAACCATATAATCTTTTCATTTATTAGTAAAACACAAATTACCTTTTTCTTGATATATTTTTCAAGTTAAGAAATTACACATGGAAAATATTCCGGGTTTAATTCCAATTCAAACGAATTCCGTAGAATATCGATGAAAGCAATGAATTTGTATTATTCCTGTGAAATTCCGGAAGACAAACAGCTATGAGAGTGTTATATTTGGATCTAAATGACAAATGTCATTCTCTAAGAGTGTTAATACCGAAACATAGTAAGTGAATCTATGGACGTCATTATGACACTGGTGAGAGTTGGAATGATTATATGTATGCACTTGCATCGTACCTGAGATGGTGAAGGTAAATTGTCATATAATACGTACATACATACATCGTATTAAAGCAGCTAAGAACATAATAGATCTTCTAGTTGTTTATGGTAATACGCTGAACAAATAGCGTCCGTCATTAGAAGGTCGCTTCTGCTACTAATGACTGTAAAATTGCTATGTGGTAAATAACAAAAAGGCCGGTTAGATCGTGGTATTTAGGGAATATTATGCATCTATATTGTTGGAAATTCGTTTGAAGTGACGAAGCGGAGTTGTTTATTTTACCGCAACTATGTCAAATGTTCTGTTAACAACAACGGAAGGTATTTGCTGCTCTTTGCAAATATGGGATGAAACAAACGTGGTTTTAAAGATCGAGCGATAAAGTTGCTTAGAAAATGCCATTTCTAGCATAATATCATGCTGAAAAAAAAATCGTCTTTGAGATAATAGGGAAAAGAATGAGGAGAAGGGTTTTCGCCTGTTTACAGACCTCATCACGAGAGGTGACTCTCTCCACAAAGGTAGATTAGATATACACACAACGTTTGAACCAATGGACAAAGGTGTTGTATTTATTGGTCGTTGTGAATGGGTAGCTGCTCAAACACGCGAAAAAGTAATAGTGTAGGCATCTATGAAAAATGAAAAAAATAAAAGGCCATAAGCATTTTAAGCTAATATTCCTTGGGACCATTACCAACTGCAGAACACAGGAACAATAGGGTTGTCGTGTTTTCGTACTGGTTAAGTGTCATTTACATGAAAAATGGTGCTGTCGTTGGCGACGTGTATCTTACAGCACCACAATCGGACATTGGAGTTAAACTAGCCATACCTTTACTCATAATAATCGAGTTCTTTTTCGTCACATGCTTCTTATCAAAATAAGTGACTCATATGAATTGAAAAAGACCTTCCACAACCGATTTTCACCCCCTCAAATGAATCATTTATGGCATTTTATGAAGACCTCGTCATCGTTAAAGTTTGTTGATTATGTAACAGATATGCATATCTAAGGTCACATGAATACATTTAGAATTGATATCCTTCAGCCCTTAGTGTTGCAAGGCACGTAACTGGCCATATGACCTTTGTTATCAAGTATTCAATAATATGATGTTATAGCACCTCTGACATTGGTTCAAGATAAATGTGTGGTGGGTTTTTTCTAAATGGCATCGCGATCGGTTTGACAGAAAACACCAAACTCATGATTGTGTGATTTCTCTTGGTACTGCAGATGAGGAAACGAGTAA